CAAAATTAAATTCAACGGCTAAAACAATTAAAAATTTTATTTAAATTGAAGTTCACTCAAAACCTCTAAAAATACCTCTATATTTATTCAAACATCCACACAAAATTCACTTTTGTCAAACAATTCTTCATTTTTTTCCTTTCTACCCATCTATGTATTTGTGTTTAATTAAGAATGGGGTAGGTTGTGCGGTTTCCCATGTTCTTTCTGTTGTGCATATGTGTAAGAATGAGGTAGTTTACTGATTTTTCATTATTTATCCTAATTTAAATATATTTAGGTTAAAATGTTCATAAAAATAAATTATCCTAATTTACATAATTTTTTTTAATAAGTTACTATAAAAAGTTGGTTAAAATCATTCTTTAATAATTTCGGGGTGAAATTTTAAGCCAAAACCATTACAGCATCTCCAATGGTTAGAAAATCTGACATTGGAAAATAGTAGAATTAGTAATTTGGTTTATTTTTAAGGATACTTTGGATGCAGTCCTTAATCCTTAACATTCTTTGATTAAAACCTTAATAATATTCAAAGTTTGATCAAAGTCCCTTGACTTTGTACACCTCATTATATTACTATTAACATTTATATTTTTATAGTTTTGACATTAATTGTTTGATATTTTATGAGATTTATAATCCTATAAATTTAAAATTCCTCATTATAATACTATTAGAAACGGTTACAATAAAAAAAATTCAAACATTTTGATTTAATAAATGGATAAAAACTATGTTAAAATAAGAAATAATAGATGGCAAAAAAATGTATCCATAGTGTTAAAACAAATGGTACATTTTACAAAAAAATAGGTACATTTCACATATAACAAAGTGGTACATTAATAAAGAAGAATGGATACATTATAAAACTAAAAACGAAATACTACAAATGAATTTTTAGGGTAAATATAAAAGATTAAAAAATTATGAGTACAAATGAATTTTTTTTTAAATATAGGTGCTAAAAGAAATTAATACATGGGTACAAAATAAATCTAAAAAGAAAATACTACAAATTTTAAAAAAATGTTGCAAATTAAAAGTGGGTACAAACTAAAAATATAAATATATGATACAAAGTTTAGGCATAAAACATAAATATACCATATGTAATTTTTCTATCATTGATTAAATATACAATATCACGTTATAGTATACACATAAGTACAAATACAAATAAAACTTTAAAAATTTGGGCACAAAAAGAAACTAATATATGGGTACAAATTAAAAATGAAAAGAAAATTGGTACAAATTAAAAAATATTTACAAATTAAAAATAAGTACAAACTAAAAATAAAAATATATGATAAAAAATTTAGCCATAAATATAAATATACTAATTGTAAAATTTTTAACTAAATGAATATATTTAAAAATAAAAATATTTTATTATTCAAATAATTAATGATGTTATTAATACCCAAAGACTTTGATCAAAAATTGAAAATGAATAGGATTTTAATCAATAGAGTAACAAAAAGAAGGATGTTAACCTAATTTTCCCTTATTTTTATGTTTGGGTATTTTGGTGTGTGTTAGCGTTAATTAGTATGTTAAGAATACTTTTATCTTCTACAATAAGTTATCACAGCGTTAGTTTGGCGCTAATCTTACGAGAGACGAACAAAATTGAACGATATTCTCTTCCCCCCTTAAGTATGCTTAGCGGAAATTTCTTTATAGTTCCTGCGACCGAGGACATGTTCAATTCCAACTTGGTGCCTAGAAAAAACACACGCTTACTTTTCTTAAGAACGCTTTGTAATTAGTCAAATATGGTCCATCAACTTTTCTTTTCTAAAACACATTTGTCATTGACTATACATAAAGGTGTCTTGTTTTTACTCAAATTCTTAATGTTGTTCCTGTGTTTTGAAGGTGGACAATTCTTGATCCATGTGTTTTACCGCATTACGCATCAAAATCTTGGTCTCTTTTGCTCAACACCATGTTAAACTACTATGATGTGCCACATTTGTAGGCGACATATCTACACGTTGAGGACATATTAATACTTAACTTTAATATATAAAGGAATGTGGTTACGAACTTGTTATTTATAAAAATCAAACATAAGATTTTCGATTTACAAGTGAAGAGAACTACTACTGAACATCTCACTTACATTAATGCTCAATTTAATTATACGTGAAAAAAATTCAAAAATGACTAGAGATTTTTCAGTTTGCCAAGAATACTGGTTATGTAACATCCCACATCGCCAACGGAGAGGGGGTGATGTGCCTTATATGTACATGCCCACCTCCATATAGCACGAGGTCTTTCGGGAACTCACTGGCTTCGGGTTCCATCGGAACTCCAATGATAAGCGAGTTCGGGTAAGAGCGTTCCTAGGATGGGTGATCCACTGGGAAGTTCTTGTGTGAGTTCCCAGAAACAAAACAATGAGGGCGTGGTCGGGGCCCAAAGTCGACAATATCGTGCTACGGCAAAACCGATATTGGGATGTGACAGAATGGTATCAGAGCCACTCTGCCTTGTGGTGCGAGTGTGCCGACGAGGACGTCGGGCCCCTAAGGGGGGATGGATTGTAACATCCCACATCAACTAACGAAGAAGGGATGATATGCCTTATATGTACATGCCCACCTCTATATAGCACCACCTTAAGGGGGGATGGATGGAAACATCCCACATCAACTAACGGAGAGAGGATGATGTGTCTTATATGTACATGCCTACCTCTATATAGCACCAGGCTTTTGGGAACTCACTGGTTTCGGGTTCCATCGGAACTCTGAAGTTAAGCGAGTTCGAGCGAGAGCATTCCTATGATGGATGACCTACTGGGAAATTCTCGTGTGAGTTCCCAGAAACAAAACCGTTAGGGCATGGTTGGGGCCCAAAGTGAACAATATCGTGCTACGGTGGAGCCGAGACTGGGATGTGACATAATTATTGTGAGATCCCACATCGACTAACGGATATGGGGTGATATGCCTTATATGTACATACTCCCCTCCCTATAGCACGAGGTTTTTTAGAAACTCACTAGCTTTGGATTCCATCGGAATTTCGAAGTTAAGTGAGTTTGGGCTAGAGCAATCCTAGGATGGGTGATCCACTGGGAAGTTGCTTGTGAGTTCCCAGAAACAAAACCGTGAGGAAATGGTAAGCCCAAAGTGGATAATATCGTGCTACGGCAGAACCGAGATTAGGATGTGACATAATGGTATCAGAGCCACTCTGCCGTTCGGTACGGATGTGCCGACGAGGATGCCGGGTTCCCCTTAAGTAGGGTGGATTGTGAGATCTCACATCTACCAACGGATAGGGGGTGATGTGCCTTATATGTACATATTCTCCTCCCTATAACACAAGGTCTTTTGGGAACTCACTAACTTCGGATTCCATCAGAACTCCGAAGTTAAGCGAGTTTAGGCTAGAGCAATCCTAGGATGGGTGACCCACGAAGAAGTTGCTCATGAGTTCCCAAAAACAAAACCGTGAGGGAATGGTAAGCCCTAAGCAGACAATATCGTGCTACAGCGAAGTCGAGACTGGGATGTGACAAGTTATACACCACGGTCTCGTTTAGCACGCCGTATAAAGCCACCGGATAATATTAATAATATGATGTTTGATGAGCTTTGTATTAAATAAGCCGAAACCTTTGTATAATTAGTCGGGTAGAAAGTCTCTCGCAACCTCGCTTACTCCGACCCTCTTTTTCTCACTAACTTCGTCCCTCTCCTTCTCTCGCAGCACTCTCCTGGCTCGACATCCACACAAACAACACCACTATCCCTTTAACCGCATCACTCTGTCACTCATTCCTTCCCCTAATAACACCGACCCCTAAACCCTTACATCTCCTCCACTGCTCCCAGCAACCCAACTTTTTCTTTCTGCAGAATTCTCATAACTTGAGCTGCAAAACGCTGAATTTTCGAGTTGGGTTTCTCTTGGAACTGCAGAGAATCATTGGGTTGGAGTTCAATTCAATCAAACGGATAAAGAAATGGAGGATGTGATTATCTGGTTTCCGTCCCAAGTAAAAAGCTTGCAGCTTTTGGTTGGTGAATCGATGAGTGGGTTCGTATGCAGGGTGGGATTTGATGATTGGGGGAAGATGGTGAATACTGGGTAGAGACCTAGGTTTTTTCTCCTTCCTCTTTAATTTTTATTTTTAAAATTTTGTCTGTGTAATGATGTTTTATATGTGTGTGTATATATATATATATATATATATTTTAACAACAAATATTCTGTGATTTTTAAAAAAAAATTATAGCCTAATGTATTATTTGATGTACAAATTAATCCGATACAATACCAAACGTCCGACTAATTTAGTCCAGTACTATCAGACAACTATTTATCCTATTCGATTGAAATAATCAATACAGTCCGAACTGTCAAACAAGACTCACATATTACTATACAAGTGGGTGTGATACTTGTGTTAAAAAATGACAACTTAAAATATTGTATAAAAAACATGAGGTATCGAAGACTCTATAAAAAAAAAAAAAAAAAACCCATTTTAAAAGTTTTGTGACTCTCGTCAACATTCCCATTTTGAATAGAGGACCGACCAATGGAAAATTCAACCACTATGAACCGGAAAATGAAAAGAATTCAACACTGCCCAAGCTGGCTATAACCCCATTTTTGTTGTGGACCGACCGCACATGGTTCAGATTACAAAATACAAAGGCGGTTAGCTATGCGCCACGCCTTTCCAGAAATTCCACGGCTACGAATCTCCCTCACACTCAATCCAACGGCCACCCACATTCCTTTATTTCGCGCGACTAACCGTTAATTAGAATTCGACCACACTAACCTCACCCATACGCGCACTTGCCTAACCAATCACCTTACGACGCGTAATGCCTTATTTTTATTTTCCCACGTGTTCTTTTTTCCAATTGGACGAGCTCGCGATCTAAAAGTCACAGGCGGTGGGGAATCATGTTGGTCGTGTAGTTGAAGTTGGGGAAGGCCTACGCCAAAACAAAAAAGGAAAGTCGCGTGTCATTAAAACGACGCCGAATCTCGTCGTTTCGACGAAGTTACCTATGAGTCTCTTCGTCTCCTCAGCAATTTTCAGTTCCAAATTGTTCTGAGCTTTTCTTCTCCCTCTGCTTTCGCTTCCGGAGCTTTCTGGGACTTCAGGTGGGTTGCATTTCTCTGATTAATTTATCTAATTATTTTTGTTAACTTCGGTTTTTTCTTAAAATTATTGATTGGAATTTGCTGATTAATTGTGGTTCTCCTCAGCAATTTTCAGTTCCAAATTGTTCTGAGCTTTTCTTCTCCCTCTGCTTTCGCTTCCGGAGCTTTTTTTTGGGACTTCAGGTGGGTTGCATTTCTCTGATTAATTTATCTAATTATTTTTGTTAACTTCGGTTTTTTCTTAAAATTATTGATTGGAATTTGCTGATTAATTGTGGTTTAGTTTGCTGATTAAGTTTTGGATGATGAATTTTATGTCAATTTTGATTGCTGACATACCTGTCGCTTTTGCTCCAATATTTATTTGGCATATTCTTTTAATATGAAGCTGTATACCTTTAACGTAGAAGGGCTTTCATTTCATGGTTTTATTAGCAACAAGTGTAAAACAGGAATTACAAATTTGAAAGATCTCAGAATGTTTTTTGTGTACAAATTTATACAATGATTGCTTGAGAGCTGCTTGGAGTTTGAGCTCACTTAGTTTCAAATTTGTGGTTTTGCATGAACTGTTCAAATTTTCCTTATTTAGTTATATCTAGGGTTCTCTAATTTTGGTTTTAAATTATTTTTCCTTCTCTTCCCTCAGGCAAAGATTTGTAAATTAAACTACTCGAGTCCATTTACACCGATGGGATGGGGAAACATCTACAAAAGACGCATGAAAGTATGCACAGTTGCTTTTCTGATATACCTAGATTACAAGGTAATTTTCATTCATTTCCTTTCACTTATAGGTTGCCTATTTTATATAAAATACCGTTTAAAGTTTTTTTATTTTTGAAATCATTGAAGGCTTTGCAGCAAAGAGAGAAATGGGCTAACAAAACTAAAACAGATGCTTTATGGGAAAATGCGCATGAGCGAAATGCTAAACGTGTTCTCAGTTTGATGGTGGAGTTGGAAGGTTTGTGGGTGAAACTTGGGCAGTATCTGTCTACACGGGCAGATGTACTTCCTGAGGCATACATACGCCTTCTCAAGCAATTGCAGGACTCTCTTCCTCCTCGTCCTTTAGAAGAGGTTGTCTCTATAGGTTTTGAAAGTTATAATATCAATGTACAATTATCATCCGCTGCGTCAATTGCTAACTGACAATTTCATTTACACAGGTTTGTCGAACTATACAGAAAGAGTTGGGGAAATCAATGAACGAGTTGTTCTTAGATTTTGTAAATGTTCCTTTGGCAACAGCATCAGTAAGATTTTTCAGACTCTTGGGTCTTGGAAGTAGAGTGAACAAATATAACCACTTAGCTCAGATTCATTGTTAATTATACTCTGATTTTTTAATTTTAAAAATGTTTATCTGATTGGTTTCCCATTCTAATTTATGTAGATAGCACAAGTCCACCGTGCCACCCTGCTCAATGGGCGGGAAGTAGTTGTTAAAGTTCAACATGAGGGCATCAAGACAATTATATTGGAGGTTTGTCATGCTTGGCTTTTAAGATTCAGGTTAAATAAAATTAAGAAGGGGTCACTAAATTATTGTCGGACATGCTTTTGTTTGCAGGACTTGAAGAATGCAAAGTCAATTGTTGACTGGATAGCATGGGCAGAGCCTCAGTACAATTTTAATCCTATGATAGATGAATGGTGCAAAGAATCTCCCAAAGAACTTGACTTCAATCATGAAGCTGGTACAATTAACTGTCATTCTTACTCCTGAATTTTCTCTTACTGCTGAGATCTTGTATGTTTTTAGTTTGGCAACCTTGACGACTATTTGTATTACAGGCTTGTTTAATTTGTCTACTTTATTGATTTTGTTTATGTACACTCTGTTTCTGTAGAGAACACCAGAACAGTGGCTAAAAATCTTGGCTGCAATACCAAATGTGATGATAACACACGCGCCGATCGAGTGGATGTTTTGATTCCAGAGGTTATTCAGGTACTATCTGTTCCATTCTCCTAATATATATGATTCTGCAAGCACAGTTTCATTTAACTGAGAACAGTGTGAGCAATTGTTCATAAAAAAAGAAAAAAATCTGAAGATGATATATGGTGGAATAGAGTAGGGAGTGCCTCCTTTATTGCTGATCTTTACTGGTGGTTGATCGAATTCATTTCTTTCAACTATAGGTGCTGTCTTTCCTATTTCATACGTATTTGTTATTTACCATCCTGCTGCTTTTGTTTACAGTCAACAGAGAAAGTCCTCATTTCAGAGTTTATGGATGGTATTCGGATAAATGACATAGAAGCGCTGGAAGAATTTGGTGTTGACAAACAAAAAGTTGTTGAAGAAATCACACGTGCTTATGCCCATCAAATGTATGTTGACGGGTTTTTTAATGGAGATCCTCATCCTGGTATCCCTCTTCTCACCCCTTCCGTTATTTATTATTTTTTACTTAATTTTTTATTAGAACAAGTCAGTTCACAAGTCAACAAGTTTGTGAGATATTACATGGTTTACTGATCCTGGAGTCTTTTTTGCAGGGAACTTTCTTGTGAGCAAGGAACCTCCATATCGTCCTATTTTGCTTGACTTTGGGCTTACAAAGAAATTATCAAGCTCATTTAAAAAAGCACTAGCAAAGATGTTCTTGGCATCTACCGAGGTTTGTGCAAACTGTTATCAATTTTTCTTCTTTAAAACGAACTGTTATTTGATATCATGTGGTTACTTGATGTTAAGAATTTTAGGCGAGTAGGTTCATTGATTGAAAAGATCGACCTTGTAATATTTTGAGGTCTCAGAGCCCTTATGAATTCTTCTCCATGGAATGTAACAACGACTAGAACACAATGAAAATTTTTACTTTCTTGCCTTTCCTTTTAGATGCCGAGAATCATCTTTGTCAAACATATAAGAGCACTATAATGAGTAATAGCAATGCTTTTTTAAGTGATGACGGTAACACTGTTTGTAAGACTAAGTTAAGTGCACTGCAAATGTAAATAGGGATCAATCTGCATTCACCTTAAATTACTCATTGATGAATAGTACTGTTTGTAGATTATAGCTCCCCTCTGCGTATACTTTAGTTATCCATTTTCCCTTTTTCTTTTTTAGGAATATTGCTAAACAGTACTTTTTAAATATTAATTTTTTACTTTGCAATGCTTGTCACAGGGGGACCATGTTGCTCTATTGTCTGCCTTTGCAGAAATGGGACTTAAGTTGCGCCTAGATATTCCAGAGCAGGCAATGGAGATAACAACTGTATTCTTCCGAAGTACAACACCTGCCAAAGAGTCTAGTGTAAGTATGCAATAATGTTTGTCTTTATTCACTTTGGACTTGTTAGATTGTTTCTATTTTTCCAATGTCATAATCCTATTCTATTCAGTTTTTCTTCGTACCCTGTTCAGTTTAATTAGTTAGCTTATTATTTTCGTTAGGAAACAATGAAATCTATGGTGGATCAAAGAGCCAAAAACATGAAGGTTATACAGGACAAGATGCAACTTAACCAGAAGGAGGCTAAACGCTTTAATCCTGTAAGTTCATGCATAATGTCCTCCTACCGTCGTGCTTCTCTGCTATGTTTATTGATTATTTCATCTGTGCTAAATTTAGTAAGAATCCCTTTAACAGGTTGATGCATTTCCTGGTGATATTGTAATTTTTGCACGAGTCCTCAATCTTCTCAGAGGTCTGTATACGAAAATTTTCTCTGCTGTTTTGGTGTTAAATAACTATACCTTTTTAATTTTACATTTGACTTGGTTGTAGGGCTTTCTTCCACAATGAATGTCCGGATTGTATATCAAGAGATCATGAGACCATTTGCTGAATCCGTTTTACAAGGGTAAGTGTATCTTGAATATTGTTTTGCATTGGTCTGTTGTCATATCTGGTTCTTTTCTGATCGACCCAAATTTTCAGAAACATTAATAGGGGACCAATGGAAAATGATCAGTGGGTCTATGACACACCTGCCCACTCTAATGTGGAGGCCAAGCTGAGGCAACTCCTAGTTGAGCTGGGGAATGACAATAAAATACTTGGAGTCCAGGTGTGCACCAATTTATCTGTTGAAATGATGCCATGAAAATTTGAATAGTCCTTTTCCATTCACATACATAAAGCTTGACACTGTAGGATATTTTGTGCTCTCTTATATTCCAGTGCAAGTCTCAGTTTCGTTACAATGGTGTTGCATGTTCTTTGAATGCTGATCTTTTCTCGTTAAAGTTTTAAGTTAATAGTTCAAAGAGAGCTAGTTTTATGTTAGAAGGATTTGAGCTTGTAGATGCCCTTGAAATTTTCTATTTATTTAAACCTCTGTTTTTTGTATTAAATGAAGAGGTACACAAGGTTCTTCATATTGTTACTTATTTTTTACTTCCAAAGTGTTGCTTGTTTGTTTTTAGTTTTTTTGTCTGCTGTTCTTTCAAATTATAGTTTAATCAAGCTTTCATGATTTTGGATTAAGGTATGTGCCTACAAAGATGGGGAAGTTATTATTGACACTGCTGCTGGAGTGCTTGGTAGATATGATCCTCGTCCAGTTCAACCCGACAGCCTTTTCCCAGTTTTTTCTGTTACAAAGGGTTTAACAGCTGGAATGTTACATTGGCTGGTTGACACTGGGTGCGTATTAGTATGTTTCCATGTTTCTTTTTGCTGTATTAAATCTACGGCTGAGGCATTATACCTGATTCAAAATAAGCTCTCGTTTCTATTTTAGCGTCTTTGTAGCATGTAGTTTGTATCTAATTGTCTGAGGTTGTCTGGGATGCCCATTCCTTTCTGCACAACAAGGGAATCTATCGTAGTATGGACACTTCAATCATGTGATCCATAACGACAAATGATTGATATTTTAGATTACCTGCATGGCTTCAGGAGTAGTTTGATAAAATAACAATCATGTATGTTAATTTCTGCATTGTTGGTAAATACGGGTAAATTGTTTTAACTATTCTGCCTTTTCAGAAAATTGAGCCTTGAGGAAGATGTAGCAAATATATGGCCAGAATTTGGATCATTTAGAAAACATCAGATAAAGGTATAAACTTTGTGATTCAATTCCTGATATTCTTAATCCAATAAAGCTATAAGTTTTGTTTGTTTTTTTATTTTAATTTTAGGTCCATCACGTCCTAAACCATACCTCTGGACTGCACAATGCTTTGGGAGAGCTTGGCACAGAGAACCCTTTGCTTATGGCCGACTGGGAGGAGTGTTTAAACCGTGTTGCCCTTTCAGAACCTGAGACTGAACCTGGCCAGGAGCAGCTGTATCACTATCTATCTTTTGGTTGGATATGCGGTGGGATTATCGAGGTACAATTGCCTACCATTCAGAACAGTTATTGGCACCTATTATTTTCAGTGCTTTTAAATATGTGGTGGAATCACTGTTTGTGTGACCGAGAATCTAATGTTCAAAACTTGCTTTGATCATTTTTCTAATTATCTATTCGGGTGGAACAGCATGCATCGAAGAGGAAATTCAAGGAAATTCTTGAAGAAGCATTTGTTCACCCCCTCCAAATTGAAGGGGAGTTTTATATTGGAATACCTCCAGGCAAGTTTACTATGTTTTTTGCTTCATTAAACGCGAGCAATACATGCCTATTTTACTTTCTGTTGTTTTCTGTTAATGTGAAAGTATTGCTTCGGCTATTTATCAGAATGTATTCTGGTAATCGTGAATCTGGGATTTCATAATTACCCTGCCTTTTTCCTCCTATACTAGGTGTGGAATCTCGACTTGCAACCCTTACACCCAATACAGAAGACCTGAAGAAGCTTTCAGGGATTAGCGGTCGTACTGATCTGCCCTCCACTTTCCAGCCAGATAAAATTATGCAAGCTGCAACTGCATTGCCCGCTCTATTTAACATGCTAAATATTCGCCGTGCCATGATACCTGCAGCTAATGGACATTTCTCAGCACGTGCACTTGCACGTTACTATGCAACCTTAGTTGATGGTGGTGTTGTTCCACCGCCTCATTCCTCTTCCTCAAAGCCAGCTCTTGGTAGCCACCCTCACATTCCCAAATTTGCTGATCAACCGTCACTGAAAAAACAGAAGGGTAACAGAAGCAAGAAGATAGCTGCTGCTTTTAGGAACAGGAGAACTAATAAGTATGAGAAGACCCCGCAAGATAGCAAGGACCAGGACATTGGTAGTCATAGTAGAAACACGAGCGGCGACAGTAACACTTGCAACGGAAGTGACACTGTGTTGGATGAGATCATTGTGAATCCTAATCCTCAAAAGGACGTCGTTAAGATATTTAACAACCCCAGAATTCATGATGCCTTCATGGGCGTCGGCGAGTATTCAAACTTGGCTAAACCAGATGGGAGTTTCGGACTGGGATTTAAGAGGTATTATTCAAAGGACAGGTCCCTTATCGGCTTTGGCCACTCGGGCATGGGTGGCTCAACTGGTTTCTGTGACATAAAGAATCGGTTCTCCATTGCTGTAACATTGAATAAAATGTCGTTTGGTTTAGAGACCGCAAAGATAATCCAGTTAGTTTGTTCGGAGTTAAATATCCCGGTGCCAGAGGATTATCTGAGATACGCCGAAACAGGACCTAGTGATGGAAAACCTCTTATCAATTGAGGCTGGTAAATGGTAATTAAGCCTTTTTACCCTTCATCATCATTACAACCTTGTATTACACATTTTGATACGATTATATTCTTCTGGTTTTTACCCCAGATGAATGAGTGTAAGCAGTTATGTTGATTTCAATTTTATACAGCAATTATTTAAAAGTGAAACTTTGAACACAATTGAGATGGTTTATTTTCTGTCAATTTTCTTGTCTAGTATTTTAGCATTTGAAAAATTACTTAATAAACTGGACTCTGAAATTCCATCACAACGAGAAAATCTGTCATATAACTAGTTTTATACAAATGTGTATCTCGTGAGAGTTTGAAAGTTGACTATATGATTAGAGCGGTGGACATACAATTGTATAAACTACCATTTAAAAGCAACCCAACATAAAAAAAATTTCCGACATATTATTTAATGCATTTCTCTTATCACATTATATATAGATGACGAACATTCAAGAACTTTTTTGTTCATAAAAACTTAAAAGTTGGAGATATAATATGAGAAATAAACACATAAATATATACAATCTGTTACACTTTAGAATCTCTCGTATAGAACGATTTAAAAGCTGGACGATCCAAAATATTTTTTTCTCATTTTGTAAATATTATTCTTGAAAGAATTTGCATCCACATGAAAGATTAGAAGTTTAAAATAGTGTGTTGCAGATCCCACGTGAGATGGTGAGCAGTGCATGCATTAGACCGAGAACATTGTTTAATTTAATTAGGAAATAAGTGAACAAATTAATGTTGCAAGTACGATTAAATAACTACAAAACGCGGTTTCTGGCATTTCTGTTCCTTCATGTGCACTCTACAATAGGTGGAAGAAAAAGGAAAATCATATCTGCAATAACAAATATGATTTCTTTGAGCTTCTTCGTTTATAAAGAAACATTTTATCAGTGTGCTTCATGGCTCCATGCTTCCACCAAGTGCCATATATCGTTGTTTGTATTTTTTTTTTTGGCTTCAAATTGGAAGTAGATGCAATACCATGATATACAAGGAAACGAAATGGTTGTGTGATCGATCTGACACTCACAACAAGAGTTCGATATCACTGCTAAAACAAGTCATTAGATCAAAACCACTGGACTATGCTATATACTAACCATCATCTATCACAGTGGCTTTTCACTTATTTCACTATATTGAAAGAAAAAAAAAAATTGTTGATTCGACATGTTGAACCAAACTTTAGATTTCTAATCGACCATTTAGATTAAAGTTCCAAATAAATGTATAAAAAATTATTTGACATATTTGCTTGATTTTTCATAGCAAATGACAAGCTAATTGTTATAACAACATTTGTTGATGTACAAAATTAGTGAGGACTTTGGTATAACAGAAAATGTCCAGTTTGTGTGACCTTTGCTAGATTGCTCCGGTCACTAGTGTGGATAAATATGTAAATGGATGGAGACAGATAAGCAAACATAAGATGTACGTGGTTCACCCAAATTGGCTACATCCACGGAGTAGATGAGTTTTCATTAATTGTGAAGGGTTTACACAAGTACATAGGTTCATGCTCTCATTTAATGAGTACTAGTGAATGATTTAGTATAAATGACATTAGGCAATATTGTGGGAAAATGATCTCCTTTTATAGAAGAGTTTCTAGCTTTGTTCTGGCATTGGCACGAGTCGTGTTGTGATTGGCTTCTGATGTCGACACGTGTCGCACTGTGATTGGCCTCCTGGTTTGAGGGAAACTCTTCTGGGTTCTTCACGGTATAACGTTGACCGGTGCTCAGTAGTTTCGGGCTTAATCAAGTATGGTACAAACATTAATCTCAAGTGTCGATTAAAATACAACTAATTTATTTTGATCCAGATTTATTTAAACCGACCAACCCTAAAACAAGTATGACAGCATCCCTTGTGTATTGCACCAGTTCCACATAAAAGTTCATATTCTATACCATTTGCCAGCTTCTTAGGAATCTTAAAGATTTATCAAACAATAATTGTCACAATTATCATGATTAAGTATTGTTGCAATGGTACTCGTGTAATTTACCAAAAAACCTCGGGCATTTCGCCATGGCAAACACTATAAAAACTGTGGACACTTTTGAAGGAAATCACACACATTTCATATTTCCATATTTGCAAACTTCATTAGGGTTTCTGTGCAGTGGCATTATGGGAATTACAGGAGTTTGCTCTAGGTTACTTGGTGACCTGGTTCAAGCCATTGGAGGAGTCCCATCCAGTTCAGCAAGCAAAGGAGCTCACATTGATCAGTGTGATCAGTACTCCAATTGCAAACCACAAAGCATTGCAACCAAAGTTGATGAGTCCATGGCAAGGGCACTGATCACAGTGTTTGGGATGGAAACAAATGGAAGAATCAAGAAGGAAAAAGTGAGGCGCGTCGTTGAAAATCTTGGACTAATACGTAATGAGGAAGACCAGACGGGCTTCGATTTACCTGGGGATGATCATGAAGTGCCAGTGGAGGAGGTCCTTGGTGGATTGGAGGATAACGAGTCCGAGCGCAGCGAGCTCCTGCGTGAAGCATTCAAGATTTTCGACGAGGATGGCAACGGGTTCATAGAGGCTGTGGAGTTGAAAAGGGTTTTAGAGTGCTTGGGGTTGGGTAGTGGGTGGGAGATGGATCAGGTTGAGAAGATGGTCAAGGTTGTGGATTTGAATTTGGATGGTAAGGTTGATTTTGGAGAGTTTGAGTTAATGATGGGGTAATTGAATTGTAATTAGCTTTTTTATTAAGATCAAGATGCTTAATTATTATTCTTTTATTTTCTTCAAACAAATGTTGTCCTAATTGTAAATTCAATGGATTCATAACCTTTTTTCCTCTGCAATGTGCAATTTTTGTTGTTTCTTCTTTTCCTTTATTTTAAGCGTCATTTTGGTTTCGCTTCCTAGTTAACTTAATTGTTAGATTGAAATCTTATTGTTTTTTTAATTTTTTTATTAAAGTCCTTTGACTTTGTACATCTCAGCATTTTAGTAGTACTATATTTCCATGTCATCTTTTTGATATCTTAAATAAAAAACTGTAATTTAAAATATTGATTGCAGTCCAACATTTAAGGGATTAAAATCCAAGAATTTATGTAATTCAAAATCCTAGTATTATGAGATTCAATCTATCGATCAAGTCTAAAAGAGATTTAAAATTTTAAAAATTCAAAAATTTGTGGGATCATATATGTACAAATCTCAAGAATTTTGTGAATTATATTGATTAGTATTAAGGGAAATAATGTACCCCATGAATTCATACATACAAAAGCAATGTCCCCACGAACTTAGACCAAAAATAATGTATGTACTCATACATTAATAGCATATGGGTACATACCGAATTTACAAGAAAACTCATGGGTACATTTGAAAACTCAAGGAAAAGAATGTACATCATACCACATTGTTTTATAGACATGCACATGTGGGTACATAAAATGCAGCAACCTTAAAAACCATTTTACATAATATTCTCCAAAAATTTTGTACCCACATATTTATGTAAAACGAATTTGAAATAACCAAAACATATTATAGCAATAGATATATTAAAACAAAACATGTAGATTAAAAATGTACGCATGGATATAAGTGTAGCCAACCAGACATTGAATAATCAAGACTAATATATAATAATAAAAGGAAGAAAAAATAAAAGAACAAAAGAAGACAACTTCAGAATGGTACAGTTTTAACATAGCCCACTCACTTTACAGTCTCTACATATTTGAATCAACCAAATTCCTTGAGAAAGCGACGCCTGCATTGCCTTGCCTATGCCACACAAATCTCACAAGCCAATAAAACCATTGATGCTAATTTGTATTTTAATCACAATAGGTTTATTCAACATATATGCATTGGATCAATTCAGGAATGGAGAAAATGGAGAAAATTGGGTTTGGGGTGTTGTAGATTCCGGATGTGCACAAGGGAAGAAGAAGAATGGAGGAGTTCAAATGGATTTTCCTTGTTTTAAACTTACTCATATAATTTATTTTTCCTTAAATGTAGAAAGAAATGAGATTTCATTTATGATGACATGTAATATTTTAAACACTAAAATGATGACATGGAATAAGTCAAAGGACCTTGATCTAAAATAGAAAAACAATATGGTTTCAATAAATGTAATATGAAAATAAGGGATGGGAGCCTAATTTTTCTTTATTTTATTTTTTTGAAAAGATACGATATTCATTAATAAGAAATGGATACATACATCAATGAGGATAGGGTGCTAACAAAGGGCCTCGATAAAAACCTTGTCGGGGTTTTCAACTCGGTCGAAGGGAAAAAGAGTGTCCCACACTAACATAATTAATTAGGAATTACTATCCTCAAAGAGAAGATCAAGAATTACATCAGGGGGTTCCTCAAACCCAGTCACAATATTACCATAACTCAAGCTCATACGCGCTAGCATGTGTGCCACCTTGTTCGTCTCCCTTCCACTTTGGCAATGAATGAACAATTGACCGCATGTCATTTAGAATGTTTCTAGATGTGAGGTGACATCACTTCCTTCATTTTTTTAGTCCTACCATAAAAAACAAAGCATCAACTTCAAGAACCAAAGCTGGGAATTGCCACTCCTTGACAAAAATAGCCGGGTCCCTTGCTGCCATCATCTCAGCCAGCTGCGGGGAACAAATGGCAGTGTGTTATGTCCCTTTGCTGCTATAAACTCCCCCTTCTCATTTCGAATCACCACCCCAACACCACCTACCTTGTGTTGTTCATCCCAGGTCGCATCAAAGTTACATTTTACCCAGCCCAATTCCGGTTTCTTCCATTTCTTTGGTTTGTTGCTGCTACGTGTTTGATTCTTCCCATGCCATCGCTGGAATTCCTGTAACCAACTTTGTGCTTTGGAAACCAACTCCAACAGTTGAAGCGCCTTTCCCTGCCATAAAAACGAGTTTCGTTCCTTCCAAATGCTCCAAATAATCACAAGTAACAAATCAAAGCTTTCTCTTGATAAATCACTAGCCAGTCTTGTGAACCAATCCACCAAATGTGATCTCAATCATTCAACCTCAAATAAAGAAATCATTTTTTTTTTCTTTCTTTTGTCTAACAAAGGCATGAGGTTTATATAGAGGGAATGTTGAGAATCGAACCACTGAAGCTACAAGTGCCCTTACACGATTAGATAATTTTGCGTGAACAATTAATTTTACACAAACAAATTATGATTACGATAAGATTGAGTGTTATTAGCAGTGATGATAGAACACTATATAATCGAAAATAAAAATACTAAATTATCCATAAATCGTTGTCAAGTATTCAGCTATACTGGCATAGTTGCAACCTTGCACCTTCCCCTAGTGCAGGCACACCCAAAAAAAGAGAGTGAATTGTCTGACATTTTTGTAAATGACATCAAACTTCATCAGTTGGACTACTTAAGTCAGCACCACTAGATGTGGGATCATGCCTAAATAATAAAAACGAGGTTGATCATGGAGGCGATTTTTTACCATTGATTAAGTCAGCACCACCAGAAAACCCTCCAGCTCAGTTCAAGAATAAGCCTGTGGAAAGTTACTTCTTCAAAAGCAAAAGTATCTCATCATCTCTTCTCATTTTTCTTCTCTTTATCCTTCATGCTGCTGCAAGATGGGGAGAAGGTGAACAATCAGCCGGAGCTCTGATTGCTTACCTTGTCTGTCACCTCTTTCAGCAGATCCCCTAGCTCGGCGACTTGGGGGACTCCTACTACATGGTTTGTATCGCGCTTGACCAAGCCTGAAACTACAAGTAAGCTTCAAGTGAAATTGATACATTACCTTGTGCATCTCCACCAGTTAAAGATACCACCCCTGGATGGAGGAAGAGTACTTCCAGAGAAGATGCCACATCTACCTATGAGACAGATAAGGCAAGTCAAGACGATACCACACTCCGATACTTAGAAGTTTCGTGATTACGAGATCATTCTCTCACAATATTTCCTAATGTCATTTGTACTAAATCATTCACTTGTACTCACTAAAGGAGAGCTTGAACCTATGTACTTGTGTAAACCCTTCACAATTAATGAGAACTCTTCTATTCCGTGGACGTAGCCAATCTGGGTGAACCACGTACATCTTGTGTTTGCTTTCCTATCTCTATTAATTTATATACTTATCCACACTAATGACCGGAGCAATCTAGCGAAGATCACAAAAAGCGACCGTTTTCGCTACCTAGGATCTATCTTGCAAGATAACGGAGAATTAGATGGAGATCTCAACCATAGAATACGAGCTGGATTGATGAAGTGTAAGAGTGCATCCGGCGTGTTATGTGACCGTCGTAGGCCACTGAAGCTCAAGGGAAAATTTTATAGGACGACAATAAGGCCAACGATGTTGTATGGCACAGAATGTTGGACGGTGAAGCATCAACACGTACACAAAATGGGTGTAGCGGAGATGAGGATGCTTCGTGGGATGTGTGGGCACACGAGAAAAGATAAGATTGGACATGAGGATATCCGAGGTAAAGTAGGAGTAGCCGAAATTGAAGGAAAGATGAGAGAAAATCGGTTCCGGTGATTTGGACATGGGCAAAGAAGGCCGACTGACACTCCGATTCGAGGATGTGACTACGGGACAAAGGTTCAGGGCCGAAGGGGTAGAGGAAGACCTAGGAAAACTTTGGAAAGAGACTCTAAGAAAAGACTTAGAGTACTTGGATCTAACGGAGGACATGACACAAAACCGAGCGCAATGGCGTTCTAGGATTCATATAGCCGACCCCACTTAGTGGGAAAAGGCTTTGTTGTTGTTGTTGTTGTTGATTAAATGTCGGATCAAATGCCCGAATAGTATAAACGAGGTTGATCATTTGCGCGATTTTTACCATTGATTAAATGTGAGATCAAATGCCTGAATAATATAAATGAGGTTGATCATTCGTGAGATTTTTGACCGTTGATCAAATATGAGATCAAATGCGATTTCTAACTATTGATCAAATATGGATTATTTGGTGATCCACGGTCAAAAATCATCACCTGCAGACTCGTAGACGAATGCCTGTAGCATAGCAGGGCTTGAATATAAAATCTTTGACATTAAGTTGAGTGCAGCGTGCAACTCTGGATGTGCGTGCTTTGCTAACTAAGGAGGTGACAAGCATATGTGGATGGATCCAAACGTTTCAACCACAAAACGCGGTTTCTGTGCTTTTCATGTGGGCACTTCCTCAAGTAAAAGGAAAAGCATTTTCCTTAATTATATAACACAGTTGGCACCATGATCTTCCCTCTTTGCAACCTCAATTATTATACAGAAACAAAAAGAAAGATAGAATCTGTGGACTTATGGAGTTTGTGCGTCAAAATCGAAAATAATTGAAAATTCTATAATGTCCTGGTGTATGAGGTTCGTCAATGTAATGGATGGTTAGATTTGCGTGTTACAATTAAAACATTCCAATTTCTTCACTAAAATGCAACACTTTACATGAGAACAAGCTAGGAAACCATAAAAATGAAAGAAGAAAAGTGAAAGAAAAGGAGACACTTAGAACTACTTAGAGATCTGCCTAAAGCATATTATAAGACATATTCGATCCAATTGACAGGGCTACGGGCGTTACAATCGTTTTACTTTATCACCACATATCCGAGACACAGCTAACAGTATCGCTCATCATCAGGTTACTCAGATTGCTATTAGCCATACCAGCATTTCCGAGTCCAAGGCCTGCGTTCTGTCCAGAGACTGCAATTCCAGCATACGGAGCATCCTGTCCGTGAACCGTAATGGTTGGTGAGACGTGTGCTGCTACCCCGCGCACATTGTGAGGGTTGAGTGGTTGCGGCGTGCCTAGATGACCTTGAAGAATTTGATTCAAACTAGAGGTTATCGAGACCCGAGCAACCAGATCTTCAGCTAGCTTCACCTAAAATTAAATCATCATTCCTTAGTGACATCCCTTAACGTTTTACAACTGTTACGTTGTCTTTAAATACGCATACATACCCATGATTAGTACTTTTTTTTCTGTGTATTATAATTTGATATTTGGGAGCAGCCTCTCCATAAATGGGGGTAAGGCTAGCCGACATTCACCTCTCCCAGACCCTGCATAAAGCGGGAGCCTTGTGCACTGGGTACGACCTTTTTTTTATTATAATTTGATATAGAATTCGTTAATCGCTGATAGCCGTGTCAGTAAATTGTCATGGTTTGGCTATATATGTACTACTACACTCACTTGCAAGCACAAGGAAAATTAGAGGCTCTGTTCCAGAGTCCATTCACCCTCTTTAAACCTCTATAAGTTTGCTTCTTTTCTGTTCTTTTTATCATCTTGTTCACCGTCACGATTGCTTTGCCTAACATTTTGATAGTTTCACGTTTAAACACTCTCCGATGTTATTTTATACCTTGGCTTTCAAGGCTTCCACGTCCGATTTCAATACTCTATTATTTGTATCAGCGTCACGGAACTGTTGAGAAGCATCCGTAAGCTGCATACATAGGGTTGAATTTTCTCGTCTCAGTTGTTCAGCCTGAAATAAAACCATGAAGAGAGCTTATGCATCAGACTTTGTTCAAATTACTCAGTGGATAATTACAAACTTGACAAGTTCAAGTTACTCAATGGATTATCATAAACTTGACACGGAAAACAATTAATCACTAGTCACTGCACACTAAACATTGTTCTGGTCAAGACTCCACCAAAAATATTTGATACCTGCAACTCGAGCTCCGCCAGATGTGCTTGCTTTCTTCTTCTTGATCGCCTAGCAGACTCCCTGTTTGAGACCATCCTGCAGGGTGGTGACAAGGTAATGCAGCTTTGGATCAATTCCCACCTTTAAATGAATGGAAACAATAGAACATCGATAATATGATAAGCAATTTAGCCTCGTTTTTTTGTCCCTCGATTTTCCTTTTGATATATTCAATCTAAAAGCCAATAAGAAAAAGTATGCATGAGGAGAAAAGGGGCGTGAATCGTTTCCCATATGGAATACCTTCTAATGCGTTTTATATCGAGGGGGTCTGTGCTGTCTCCACATGGACCAAATTCCATCTCAAAATCATCCTCATCGGATTGTTCTCCGGATGAGCCACTGTAGGCTCCTCTTGCTTGGTTATCTCTGCCAATCGGTTTAGCAGCCGATGTTGGACAGCCAACTGATAAACCATATATCAAAACCACTAAATCACACAACAAGCAACAAATGGCACCCGAAACACAAACATAGCACGCATAAAAAAGTGATGAAAACAAAGACAAGCAAGCGTAAAGGTGTAAGCTTGACGTGTTTTTCTGAAACCATACCACAAATCGATGACTGGGAATCCATGGTTGCCGAGATGCAGGAGTTTTTTGGAGTGAGATTTTGAGTGCAGAGTAGGGTCTCTGTCAGTTCACCAAAGCTTGAAAACCCATCCATTATATCCTGCATATATGGAATACATCAGGGGTGGGCAAACGGGTCCTGGATCCGCGGGTCGGGGCGGGTCCAAAAATTATAAATACAAAACGGGATGGGCAGGGCCGGTTCCTTGTAAATAACAGGGCGGGCCGGTTCTAAAAATTAGATAAAAGGGTACCCGGCCCGGACCATTCATTCCAACTGATTAAATCTCTACCGTTCATTCAATACATATATATACACTTTGTGAATCAAGTGACTGCAGCTAGAAATCAAAATTTGATACTTCATTTTATGCTTGTCTTGTAATGGCTGCTATGAGCTTTAGGTAGAGTCTCAAAAAGTCACTCACAAAGAAACCAACTTAATTATGGAAAACTAAATAAGATTACAAAATAGAGTATTAATTATATAATCAGAAATTATTCACGCGAATGGACAACTAACTATTCCATACCTTAACCTAACTCGATTGTCCAAATATAAGATTGGTAATTTTTTTCACACCCAACTTGTATTAGATAGTGCATTCCTATGTGTATTAGTTTTGAGCGTCTAAATAGCATTACAATATCAACTTATCCATAGAAAATATTTTGTTATATGCTGAAAGTAAATCCATAATTTTTTTTTTTCCAAAAATAAAACATCTCTAGGATTTAGAATTCTATGTGTTTCACAAACAATTGACATAAGCCTCCCCATCACCAATGACTTGTTAAACTGGAACCCCTCAAGCATGATTAATTACCAGTTGAAGTATGATTAATTACCCAAGAAAAATTAATTAATTAACCAAATCTACCATCACCTTTTTCTTGAAATAATTAAACAAAATAATTATGCTTTCATTTTCGACCCCACTACGACGACGTTTGAGTCAAAATATTAAAACCACATATATAAACATGTCAAATTTGTTCCAAAAAAATTTACATGTCAAATTGCATTGGATGACGTGGCACTGGACTACGGCGTCCGAAAGTCCCGGAAGGTGAGAGAGAGCGAGCGTGACTAACCTCATTTTTGAAAGCGAAGCTGAGGTCGCCGGCGCAAACATCGCCGGAAATACATCTGCACTGGCGAAATTCCGGTACTTCGCCCAATATTCGTCCATTTTTTCATCCTGGTGCCCTTGAGTATCAGCGCCCTCCTGACCGATCATGGACTTGTCCATTAAGTACTCCAAGGCCTCGCCAAGAGAAAACTCCCGCTTCAATTCGAAGGGAGACGACGCCGTTTGGGAGTGCACCGACACATCGCAAGCCGGCTTTTGCTCCATTTGGGATCTCCGTGCTACCTCCGGTGAGATTAGCGCAGAGAGAGAGGGGGAGAGAAGGGGGAGGGAATAAGAGCGGAGGGAGTGGGTTTAAATAGCAAAAATGGGATGCGGGAAAGTACGCAAGGAAAAAGTGGGCGGCAGATGAAGTTAAAGTTTAGTGGTAGGTTAGATTACGAAAATGCCCTTGGGAATTGTACGAAATGGCGCGAGATGTAGGTTTTGTGGTAATTGCACATGACGGGATCTTCGTGTGCAAGTAATGCAATACTTTATTTATTTTATGAAGATCTGGACCGTTGATTTCTAGAATCTGAAAAGAATCATCATGCTGACACGAAACAAGTTGGTTGTTTGGTGGCCATCTGAATCTGGAAGGGTTTTCAGTTTTTTTTTTTTTTTTTTTTTGACAAACGATAATGTTAATGGGTTAAATTGTTAATTGTTAGGGTTTTGGGTTCTTTGGTTAGAAGACGAAAAATTTGTTTGAATGAAGCTTACGAAAACATCGATTAGGCAAAGGCAATTGCTTACTTAGTAGTTATGTCTGATTCTTTTCTTTTTTTCAATAGTGTAATTTGAGCTTAAGACTTCTCAAAATATTTATACTAAGAGCTAGTTCAAAATGTTTTACAATTTTCATATATTATGCTGTCAAATTGCTCAAATTTATTGTTTATTTACGTTTCTATGTTATGTTTTCAGATTACTTAAAGTTATTGTTTATGTCAAACTATGTTTTAGGGTATGGCCTTGATAAATAAAGTTTGTCAAAATAGCATATCAAAACAGAATGACATGTTAAATTCTAAAATGAGATTATCAATATGTTCGTTTTGACACGAACACGAAACGATTAGTCAATCCGAACGCATACGTACTTAATGTGTGACATGATTAAACAGTTTAATATTCATAAGTACAAAATGGCATGTAAAATCAAAGATGAAATTAGATGCAAGATTATTTGGGGCCACATATTTAAATAGGTTACCTAATAGAATTGTTATAGTGAATTATTGGTCCTTATATGTGTAATGAAAGGTCTAATTAATTTATTCAACCATTTTCACTATAAGGCTATATTTGATGATGTCCTTCTATAGACTTGGCTCTTCTTATTTGATAGGTCCTTGTCAATAGTAATTTGACATGCTTTCAAGTATTGAGGAGCTAGAACTATGAATAATAATAATAATTTTTTAAATGGTGATGCTAAGTCCACACAACCTAGCCTTTTAGAGTTCCTTAGGTGGGCTGAATGGGATTAAGCCTTGGAGATAGGATTAGATTGGTAGACGCTTATAAAACAAGACTTGTAACTCAAATACAAGGATAGGTTATATAACCCACTTTATTTTGGATTTATAACTCATCATGTTCAGTCATGTCCATCTCACATTTTGACACGAAACAATAGACGAAACTGAAGTCCATTTTAATTGATCAGAACATATCTCATCTGGCCCACCAAACCGGACCTTACATCATACTCTTTAATCACAACACTAGCTAGTGCATATCATTAGTAGTATGATATTGCTTTAAACGATACTAGCATCGGTCATTCATATGTTTGTAACGGCTGTAAGTTATCAATGCATTACGAATGGGCCACAATTTTTTACGGATGTGTAAGTGACTAATATATTAAAGACAAGTGTGTTAAAGATATTCTTATAGATGGGCTAAGTGTAATGCAGTCAAAAAACCAACAAAAGATCACACTATGTAATCTTCCATCTTTATGTGCAAAACATATAGATTAAATTAAATTAAATTAAATTAATGCCTTGAAGGCAAAGCATATAGCTAGGGTTGAATGGTTTGTTTAGGTAAATAGAGTGGATCTCTAAGGACTTTTTTTAAGTGTGGAAAAGCAATGAGGGAAGCTTGATTTGGGCAAGCACCGACCTAAAGAATAAGTGTAGTGATATCCACAAACCTCTTTTATTTCTCACAAGTTTCTTTCAATTTTCAACCGTCGTAATGAATAAATTGAAAAAGATCAATGCCAAAAAATTATTAAGTATGTGTACAACGTAAAAGTAAGTGTGTGAATATCACTTTCTAAAGACATGGATGCTTTGCATGCCTTGCTTAAATGCCTTGCTTAAAAGGAGGGTTTTCTCCTCCACTTTCTTTTGAGTTTTCCTTTTTTTTAAAGAAATTAGCTTTGGATTTGCTTTTTCATGGCTTTATTTACTCTTATTTAAGACCAGGTAATACCTAACTTTTTTTCAAGGCGAATCAGAAAGGACTTGGATTGTCTGCTCTCCTAGTTGTGGTGCCCTTTCATACCCTCCTATTTTGTGCGGTCACGGTTAAGCTACGTCAATATTTTATATTAATTTTTTAATGAGATAATAAGACAAAAAATAATTAAAATATAAAATATTGACGTAGCTTAACCGTGACCGCACAAAATAGGAGGGCATGGAAGGGCACCACAACTAGGAGGGCAGACAATCCTTGTCCAATCAGAAAAGCCCCCACGTCAGAATCACCACGAAAAAGTAGTCTAAATTCTTGCAAATATGAAAATGACCAAGTGGCCAAAAAGAAAAACATCACAAGTTTTCGAATGGTTTAATTGTAGCAATAGTCTGTGAATTTTATCTCCAGTTTAATTTAGTTTTTGAATTTTTATGTTAGTTTCTCTAGTTTTTCGAATTTAACAATGTTTTGTACCTTTGGTGATTTTCACGAATGCTCTTTTTTTCCCATTAAATCTAGGGATATAAAAGGAACTTCAACTTAAAACTTCACAAAAAAAAAAAGGCTAAAAAAATGAAAATTTATACATTAATATCTAAAAGTTAAAACAAAATGACATTAGAACTATAAAATAAAGAATTAAAATGGTTAGATTTTAGCAACTTGTAAATATTAGACAATGTGATTTCGAAGTTGGTAGGAGATCGAACTGTGGCTGAACTTAAACAATTAAAAAAAATCACAAATTAGACTATGGAAAAAAAAAATTGTATGTATTCAATTTTCTAACACAAAAAAATCTGGTTCATTTAGGTTTTTTTTTTCTTTTTCCTTTCTCATTTCTCATTTTTTAATTTATTTTTTGTGATGTGGGATGAAGTTACTAATATACTCGTAAATTTAACCAAAAGATAGATGACGTTAGTGACAATGACAAATTGTCACATTGTTAAGTTCAAGGACTAAAGAAATTAATATGAGAATTTAGGGACTAAAATTAAACTAAGCGTAAAATTCAGAGACCATTGCTACAATTAATTTCTTTAATGAAAGTGAAATATTAGACTAAATTTTCTATACCAAAAATGTGACAGCCCCTCCCGAAATATATTTTATCGATGGTGTGAATTGACTAAATTACCCTTAAATGTTGAGTTGTGTTGCGTGGAATGAGCTTAGTATTTGGACCAATTAAATCCATTTCCTGAGTTTTTGGGACCCAATAGGAAACTTAAAATTTGTTTGACTGTTTTGTGGTTTGTGGGGTGACAAATCTGGACCACACACACCAACCAATCCCGTTGACTCTCTCTCTCTCTCCCCTTCTCGATTTCCTTCCATTGTCCGTACAATACGTACGGTCAACCTCCCAACTAGCTTAATCACTAATGAATCGAGCTAGATGAGGACGTTTTTGAACTCCTTGCAAGCTTAGGAGCAGAGTCGTACCTTTTGTTTGAGGAAGGGACCTGTAGAAATCGATATATCCGAACTCCAGCGAGGGGTGATTTTTCCTCGGACGTGATTGCGAAGGTTTTAAGTTGTTTTGAGACCTAAGAAGGTATTATTCTTGCTTTTCTAGCACGTTGGATCAACTTTGGAGTGGTTTTGACGTAAGAACACTCGGGTTTATATAGTTGCAAGGTTTGGCCGATTTCCTCGAGTTTTTCCGGCGAGTTTCTGTTGAATTTAGGTCCCCCAAAGTGGTAAGAATGTGTTCTACTCGTTGTAAGCTTTAGTTTGGTACAAATTTCATCGAATTTGGTTAAGTATTGGATGAGATATTGAAGTTTAAAGATTTTTCCAGTTTCCAGCGATAACAGCCGCACCGACGACGGACTCTGGCGAACCAAGGAAGAAGGAGGAGAATATTCCGTCAAAGTTGACGGAATATGCTAACGGCATCATGTATCTTTAACGGTATATGCCGATTTTTAACATAATATTCCTTAATGCCGTTAGGGAATTCGTCAGTGTGCCAAGCACGTGCCTACGCGTGAGGGCGCGTGGGTGCTTGGAAATTTTTTCTAAAAATATGAGGTTGTTCCTGAGGTGGAGTAGGTCATGGTGGAATATTCAAATACCTCAATTGAGCTATGTATAAGAAGTTATTACCTTGTTTTGTGTATGCTCTTTAAAATAACGTTTATATAGTTGTTTCGCATATAGGTGAGACCTATCCTGAGGACGAGCGCAGTCAAGCAAGGCTCGGGGGTTACAACCCTTCCACATATCAGTGAGTGGGCTTTTGGTTTTCAGTATATACTTATATACTTGGTATTTTTCCTAGAAAATGTGTTTAAATGAAATTATGTTTTGAAATGCTATGCCTATTGATTCATACTTAGATTATGAATTAGTATAGCATGCTTAAATGTGATTTGACGTTGTGGACACTCATGTAAGTACCAGGTAAGTTGTAGACTGTTTATATGTGAATTGATGATTATGTGAAATGTGTTGAGAGTTCATAAACCTGCACCCCGGTGTTAGTGCTCCCACCCGTGGCCAGGGCACAGGCCTTCACGTGATGTTCACCTCCCGCACTGCACGCTCACCTTGGATCCAAGTTAGGTGCACAGTCATGTCAGACCACTATAGGTGGTTCCGACTCATAGATGACCCGCAATTATTCGCACAGTCTTCACGTGATCGTAACATTAGAGCGTATTTATTTACACCCAGTCCTGTCGTACAGAACACTTTAGGTGGTTCCGACTCGTGTGCAGGCGTACTTGTTGAGTTATAAATTCAGCCATACATGCCACTTTAGGTAGATCCGGCTGATATGTTATTTCACCTGAGTTACTTATTCTGTTATTTTGAGATATTTGGCATGGCCTACTTATGAATATCGTTTTC